GGCGAAGTTTGGGTGGATGGGGAGGTAGTCGAATTTTAAGGTCAGCAACATCTAATGTTCTAAAAAGCGTAAAATATGGTTAGGAGTGGAGGTCAAGTTTCATGTTTTACAAGCCTAGGGAAGCCTAGTCGAAGTCTAAGCGTAAAAATAATTTTTCTTATTTTTAATATTATTTTAAAATTCTAATCATTTAAAAAATTATTTAATAATTAAAATAATACATATTAAATATCTAAAATTATATTATACTATATTTACTTAATAATCACTACAATTTTCAAAATTTTGAAATGCAAAATCTAGATTATCTTCATAGTTTTAATTTCAACTAGACAAGTCTTGCCGTTCATGGTGATGCAGACCAAGCAAAAGTCTTGGTCAACTGCTATCCATGATTGAAGAATGAATACAATTGGATTCTTAGTTTAATTTAGGAAAATTATCAAACCAATATCTCTTTTATGTTGCAACCGTCGAATTTGATAGAAACTCGTACATTATAATTAACAATTGATTCTTGTGGGACGATAATTCAACCCATCACATTATTACTTGTCATGATCCCGTACGCTTGGGGTTTTTGTCCGAACGGCATGCTACCAACTTCCAATGGAACTCTCAATAGAATTCGGATCACACTCAAACTCTAACATTGGTATTTTGGTCCATAATCGAGAAACATGGTCCACACCGGCTCTAGATTAGTTAAAATGCAAATTGTGTTAATTAAATGAAGGGAATTGGTACGAGTGAAGATGAGTAACTTTTTTAAGTATGGGCGAGCAATGAGTAACTTTTTTAGAATTTGGATGAGCAAGTAGTTATCTGAGATAAAGTTCAACGAGCATTGATTTAATTAATTCGATTTAAAAATGGTTTAAAGTCAACATTGAAGACGCTTTATTTCAATTCCAAATCTAATAAATTTGATTAATTTCGTGAGTTATTGCGACCCTGTATATCTATCATTTGCTCGCCAATTATCGAACTCCATTCAATTTATTTCAATCCAGAGACGGATCCACTATTTTTGTTGAGGAGAACTGAAATTTTAAAAATATCAATGTAATAAAATTTATATATAAATAAGTCAGTAGGTCACCAACAATTCAATAACTTCATTTAATAATTAATTAATAAATAAAAAATATTAGCTGCATGATGACAAATGAAACACTTATTAAATGTGTAATAGAGTAAAAATTAAGGGGTATGAATTTAAATATAGCAAAATAGCAATATAAAATGAAGGCTTTAAA